TTAATCATTTCACCCCAAGCAAAACAATAAAGCTACAAAGACACATGGGGTTAGTGAGTGTGAAAGAATATGAGAAAAAGAAATCATTATTAAGGTCAGAAAACAATAAAAGGATATGAATTAAGAAAACAGAAGATAATGATTGACATTACACTTATATCTTTAGAGATCAAAATTAACTGGAAAGCAAGAAGCTAGATGAGAATTCCACAAGCAAGAAGTGTGATAGAAGAAACTATTAGCATAGAACTTACAGTTGCATCTGGCCATTTCAACTCTAAAATGATGAGATTTTGTAGCCAATCAGGTACTGCACTTAAATTCATATGGTCTAGGTATCATAGCAGAAAGTTCATTGGAACAATTACCATAAAAATATTTATAGAAAGGCACAAGGCATATATATATATATATAAACTGTCAGCATAGAAGTTACGCTTACATCTAGCTATATATATATATACATTACAGCAGTGGGAAGTGATGCCAGGTCAGGACTGGTAACATTGCAGATTTTATCAAGAATCTCTAAATACATAGCAGAAACACCAGAACAGATGTGGCAACAAGATTCAGTGCACAGACAAATGGTAAACTTGTAAGTGTGCATGATATATTCTGATGAGAAAAATTGTCTAGCATGATATAGTGAATCAACTATACTCACAGCAGACTTAGTTGATTTAATATAATCTTTCCACTTTCCACAGCACACATGGCCTGAAGTTTGCATTCAAGCAGGAAACAGACTGTTGTTACTCTGTGTTGACCTCAGTGTCCACTTTTATATATATTTATATAAATATCACGAGCATAGGTCATATAATCCAGTAGGATTGCTGGAGCACTCCATATATACTGCATCCATAACAGCAGTGGGTGTGTCTAGGGCAAAAGAGCAGGATGCCTATTCCTCTTATGACATATATATATATATGTTTGTGTGTGTGTATTTAGGCAGCAAATTCTCTTTTAGGCATGTCTGATTTAATAAATTACAAACATTATGCCTGCTTATTTTGATTATAATCCTTTCATATTCATGAATATTTTTCCATATATTACAATAGAATAAGGTAAGAAATGCACTGTAACAGTGAGAATCACTTTTATTTTCCAAGTACTTTTCATCCCTTTTTGATATGTAGATGAGATTCTTATTTTAGCTAAAAACATAGCAGAAATATTTGAACTCCAAAAAAATTTAAAAAAACTGCCCTCAAGTTCACATATAAACTTAACAAAGACGCAAATAATAACACATTTACTACCTCCCCATACAAAAACCAACCAGCAAAACCTCTTGCACTCTCCACTATAAGAGTGAATATCCTAATTACTACAAAATAGCACTTATACATAATATAATTAACCAAGCACAAATTAATTCCTCCACAAAAAAGATTTTCTACATTGATCTAAAAAATATTAAGCAAACTCAATCAATAATGACTTCCCAAAACACATTGTAGATGAACAAATAAGACGATTTATCAAAAATCTAAACACAAATCAAATAGAACATGGTACTTCCTCAAAGGAAACCTAAATATATCAAACTCTTATATTGTAACCAGATGCATGTTAACTAAAATCATAAAAAACCTCATTCATACCAATATATTGATCTCAATAAAAAATAAAATTAATCATATATTACACAAAATACAATGCAATCAATTTAATTATTCACAACTGATGTATTATGTAAAACCAACATTATATATCAATTCAAATGTCCCTTGGGAGAATGTATCTCTGACAGAAAAACAAATATATATTTTGGATATGCAACTACATTATCAAGACATCTTATTCTACACATGTCTGACCATTCCTCCATTGCAAGATATTTACACCAACATTCCTGTTCACATTAACAGTATAAAATGATACTGATTGATAACACAACTATCCTACACCAAGAAAATAATAAATTAAAACTACAGATCCTCGAAGCGATCTTCATTAAAAAATTGAAGCCGATACTGAATAGAATCAGCTACAAATACTGTAATAATGTTCTAAAATGCCTATGAAAAGAAAAGTTTTTACACTTTAATGTGCTCTTGACCATGACATCTCAACATAAAAAATGTGCATAACTGTCAAACATAGCATTTAAATGCAAAAGAAAAAATTCAGTAATGGATAGCAACACATAGTTTTTGCCTTACCAGTTGCACACCTGATGATGATCTCAGAAAGAGATGGAAAGTACTTAGAAAATAAAAGTGATTCTCACTGTTACAGTGCATTTTTTGGCTTATTCAATTGTAATATACAGAAAAATATTTGTGAAAATGAAAGGATTCTGATGAAAATAAGTAGACATAATGTTTGTAATTTATTCAATCAGACATATATATATACATATATATATATATATATATATATATATATATATATATATATATATTTCAAATATATTGTTAAATATAACCATCAATGAATGTCTATTATGTCTGATCATGAGCCATTTTAATTTCGTGAGAAAATA